CTGCAGTCCACCTCAGCTGGGATGAGAACAACTTTTGGGAAAGCAAGGCTATGTGAAATTCAATGGAAACTTGTGGGAAAATTCTTCTTCTACCAGTCCTTCATCAGCTTAAACGAACTTGGGTGAATACATCTCATACTACTCATTTACTGGTAGTCACGAAAACAATAATTTATTCGAAAAAAAATAAAGTATAGTAATCGATTGTTCAACTCATACGATTGTGGGAAAATTCATCTACTACCAGTCCTTCATCACCTTACACGAAATAGGGTGAATACATCTCATACTACTCATTTACTGGTAGTCACGAAAACAATAATTTATTCGAAAAAAAATAAAGTATAGTAGTCGATTGTTCAACTCATATGATTGTGGGAAAATTCATCTAATTCCAGTCTTTCATCACCTTACACGAAATAGGGTGAATACATCTCATTAAACGCCTTTTGTTTGTATCAACTGGATTCACCCAATTTCAGCTGAGATGGCAACCATGTGAGTAGACGGAACGTTTACAGTCAATATTTATAATACCTCGCCTTCAAAAGGGTCGCAATGGACTATGGTTTCAACCTCTCCTCAACATACCTCCTTAGCACCCTCGACGGAACGCCACATTCTCTGATGGGATTGTCAATGAAGCAAAAGTGACTTTGCTATCGAAAACGACTATATTACTTATTTGTCGTTCATAAGTAGGCTTTCCAGACCTCCATTAAATCGTGAATATAATGTGTATCCACCCTATTTCGCTAAAGGCGATGATATGACTGGATTGAATTAATATTTATTCGATAATCCCACAACAAAAAAGCCAGTGCTTGGAATGCATACCTGCTCTAAGACTAACCGACTGACACTCGTGAAGGACGAGTCGAGTGGAGTGGTAATGCCATCATAGCACAGATGATCCGGGTTCGGATCCCGAAGCTGGTACAGTCCGTTCTCGCCCAAATGCCCGCGGCGCTAGGAGCACATTCCTCACGATCCAATGGGTCGTGTGTAAAGTCGGAATCCTGTCGGAAGAGTTGGAAGGTTGAGGCGAACCAACCAGACGGGCCAGATAGTCGAATTGAAAAAGATAAAAGCACCTTTCACTAGACGCCTTGGCAACTGATCGCGAAAATTGGCAGAACACGTTGAGCTCAGGTGATGCCAAGAAAAGTGGGTACTAACATACGTTCTCCTCCTCCTTTTCCTCCAGCACCAAATACCCCCAAAATGCCTTCTTTCACTTGAGCCCAACCCAAACGCAAAACTGACTCTGCTCCACGCAGCTGAAGAGAGCAGAATTCGTGCCAGCGCCGGTGGATTACAGCCCGACGGGACTCGAACTGGCCTCATCAACAGTGACGATTTGCCTCCACTCGGCCACGAGGCAAATGTGGCTTTTTAGTCGGGCCATGTAGCGATGCTGAGGGGCCCACTCGACCCGGTCGCC